CCACTTCATAGTTTAACAATTATGCTCTTACTCTAGTCTATACATGTATGAATCAACATATTTTCCTTACTTTGTATTCTTGTAAATTCTTGCTTTTTTATTGTTACAGCATCCACAATTTTTCTTCTAGATCAATGGTATATTTTTATTTCTGCATGGTATTTGGGAAAGCATGACTAATTTAGAAACAAAACCTGAGTCTGACTTAAATTGCTTATATGGTTCTTTAGCAAACTTATTTCACACTATGAAATTTTAGATAGCCCTTGACTTACAACCACAATTGAGTCCAAAAGTTGCTAAGTGAGACAGTTGTTAAATGAATGTTGTCCCTTTATGACCTTTCTTGTCACAGTTGTTAAGTGAATCACTGTAGTTATTAAATTAGTAACATGGTTAAGTAAATCTGGCTTCCCCATTGACTTTGCTTGTTAGAAAGTCCCCTGGAACACTGCATATGTGAGTCAGTTGCCAATCATCTGAATTTTGATTACGTGACAATGGTTCTAAGTATGAAAAAACATCATTTTTTTCAGTGCCATTGTAACTTTGAATGGTCACTAAATGAATTGTTGTAAGTCAAGGACTACCTGTGTAGTGTGTCCTATTAATGAGAGCTGTCCTAAGTTGTATTACCATCGGCATCTGAGCGTTTATAATGGCTGCAGCATAAGAAAAAAGTCAAAAGTCAGCCTATCGATTCTGGAAAGACTTGAAATCAAGGCATTCTATTGTTTATTGTCTTAATGTGGGAATTGACTAATGTGATTGTTTTCTACTTACCAAAATTAATATCAGGGGGACAAATCATCTTCTGAAAAAGGTTTCTGATCCTGGCATTAGCTATTCCAGAAATGGAGCAATGTTGACATGGGAAGAACCAAAGAACCGTTTCATCCCAATGCAAGTGGATTTTTCTTAACCACATTAAAAAGGCACTGCCAAATAGTAGCCACCAATAAGTAAATCTGTCACAGTAATTCTTTCTCTTATTATTTATCATGATTTTCTCTTTTTTTTTTTCATCTTATCCCTGTCCTGAACTCACTTTTTCTTGTATTTTCTTTGGTTGTTTTCCAAATAAGCATGTTTTTATTTCCAAGTTTGCTTAATGTTCAGATTGTGCTCATATTTCTTGTCTATTAGGATGCATTTTCATGCATTATTTTCCTAAATCTTTGTATATTGCCTTCACACACACCGTTTTTTTTAAACTGGAAAGAGCCAAAAACATTGAATTTTGAAAAACTAAAACCAAGTTTTAGTTCGTATGTGGGTTCAAAAATGCAAAATTTAAAAAAACAAAATTTTCATCTGTTTAGTAGTAGCCCGATTATAAGAAGGGGCCCTTATAACTTTTTCAATAAGCAAAATAATGGACATACGTTTGCACTGCAACTTCTTAGAGCACTTACACAGGTCCCACTAAGTAAAACAGACCAAGAATCTACAAGAAGATTAACTTGTATTGAGATTGGCTATAAGAACAAAATCCTGCAAGTCTGATTATGCAGTTTCTCCTCTAGTTTATCATTTAATGAATTAAGGACATGTTTGCCCAATTGCTTTGAATATTAGCTTGTTTCTCAAATCTTAAAAATATTTCAACCCTTTTTGCCTAGGTAACAATTCGATCAAGTTCAACTTTCTTATTCTCAGCAACCTATTAGATATTACCTTACAGCTGTTTACAGATAATTGTTAACAGCTTTACAGTATCTTTTACAAATCAAATGTTTATGCCATATTTTAAGGATATTTTCTTACCAACAGCTGGATAAAACTCATTAAAATACTGATCTCTTTGTTCTACATCTTGGCAAACATGCTGTAACTTCTTTTTGCTCAATGGACATCATACCCAACTACGTATATAGACCTTCAAGGCATGTGCACATTTGCAAGGAATTTCCCCAAAATGGGTCTTATTCTTTCTAACCGATTAATAATTAAATCTTTATTAATTTAGCTCATAAGAAAAAGGGCTACATTTATCTAGACTAAGCAACAAAAATATTTACACTGGGCAAACAAGAAAAAAAGTAAATTTTAATAAATCGCTTAAGGAAGACAAGTCATTGGTGTCAAATGCTGCATTCTTTTATCCTATTATCTTGTGAATAAATCAATTCATCTTAAATTCTGAGAATGCTATATTTAGTTTTATATTTGAACAAGATTTCCAGCTAAGCCTAAATTCAAAATCTTCTCCGGAATTAGGATCATCTTTGCTTGCTCCTTCTGCTGTTGTGAGAGCCTATTAGTTATTGCTAATCCTAGTTTTGGCTATGAAATTCTGGTAACCTGACAGTGGAAATAGAGCTCTGCATATGCTCAGGAGCACTCTTTCATTATTGCTATCATATCACATGTATAAAGCATGTTTAATAAGTATACATTAATAAATTCCAATTTTAAATATTAAAGTGATAGTTGCCCTTAAGACTGAAAATACTGCTATATATAACATTTTTTGCTTGCCATAAAAGAACTACTTTATAATTCACAACCGTTTGAAATAAATGGTGCAGAGTTGGTAGGACTGAGATATGCAGAGTCAAATATCCTTCAAGTCAGTTTGAATTATCCAGTCCCCAAGGCTTCTGCTCAAATCCATTGCAAATTGGAGGCTACTGTTCTGATTCTAGCAGCTAAACTGGAGTCTGAAAATCCAACAAACTTCAAACCTAGCCAAAATTATTTTGCCCTAATACTAAATTGCTTTTTTTATTATTTCCTTTCCTTCTGTCTTCAATGTTTTATCATCAGTTTTATCTCCAAAGCACAGATCTGTCATTGAATTCTGAAAATCCCTTGCACTCAAAATTTTCAATAAAGTCGTAATTTTCTTGAAATAATCATTTCTCACACAAAGTAAATTCCTGCACCCTATATTTTAGATTGGATACAAATCTGATACTGTAACTTTTGCTTGGACATTTCAAGTAGACAAATTCTCTCAAGCCTCTTCAAGCATCCCCCACTAAAAAAAAAAGAAGAAGGGGGGGCGGGACTGAATCCAGAACTTAATTGCAGATAGAATTCTAGCAGTGAGACCTTAACATATCTTTCTTCAGAAGGAAATGTCATTAAGTTCAATAGCAGTGTTATTCCCAGGTAAGCCACCTAAATGATCTGATGCAGGACAGGACAGTTAAATAGGAGAGATAACCTTGTCAAACACAGACAGTAACAACACAAATGTTTTGTGGAATTCCTTATGTTAGAGGGGGGGGGGGAATTAAGAATTTAAAAATATGCTGGAAAGACAGTTCTTAGGATTCTTACCAGCACGGTCCATTACGGGGCTATTGGCACCCCAGGTTTGGTAGAAAGTAGCCAGATCCTTTGGAATGGAGGTCTTTAAGATGTTTACAATATCCAAACATTTCTCATGCCCCTCAGGGGATGGCTCCTGTTTGGTGGAATGTACAGTTGGAGGAGGTCCTGCTGCAACGGGCTGAGGTTGCATCAAAGGACTTGTTCTGGATCCTCCAGTACAATTGATCAATGCTCTCATTTCACTTTCCCTCTTGGCGGTATGTTCTTGCTGAGGCATTGATGGAGGTTCTTGAGTAATGCATGGCTCAGTTTTACACAGAGGGTAGTACTGAGATGGAGATAAAAATTTGGCCTTCCCTGTATCTGGAGTACAATGCTTGATTAAAGGAGCAGATCCGGAATTTACTTGAGGGACTACGTACTTTTCTGTTTCTCTGCTACTGGAGGGCTGTCCGCTAGGTTTAGATATCACTGTATGGGAAGGCGTTGAATTTCTGCTAAAGTTTCCCGTCTGCATCAATTTGGAGTTCACATCAAATTTTGATTTTAATTGGGGCTGCTGGGTACTGTATTGTTCATGAGTGTGGTTAAGTTTGGGTGGTCTATATCCATCAATAGCTGATGGTTGCGGACCACCGCCCCCAGTGGATGGTGCATCTTTTGCCATAGCCCCGGGCTTAGGAGATACAGCAATATCAGAACAATTATTATTTTTGGATCCTGACAACCCACTCGGCACCTGAGTACGTGTAAATCTGGCTATAGGCAAAGGTTGGCATTCTTTCCCACCAAGTACAGGAGGTGGTCCAGTGCGCCCACTTCTTGCCATAAAAACAGAATTATGTTTTATACTCTTGAATCCATTTTGAAGAACCCAAGCAGGAGCCATAGAATTACAACTAACTTTGTGCCAAATTCTTTTGTGCATCCACAGGACTTCTGGATAGTAAGTTTTATGACTGCAGTAAGGACATCGGTGGACAATCAGAGCAGCCTGCAAGGTTGAGGTAAAACTCGAATCAGCCCTAGTTGATTTCTCACTTAGATCTAATGGAGTCTTTTCAGACACCTCTGTATCTTTATTGAGCGCAGCATGTTCATTCATCTCTACAAGGATTTCTTTAGCGAGCTTCTGCTGAATTTCCAAGGGGCTTTGCAAACTCAGTCTCACATCCGCAGTCTTACTGGAACAAGGAAAATCACAACTTTGCTGAAATGCCGACATCTTTGAATCAGGGTAAATTTTGCAATCCACATATTTTGGAAATGGTTCTTTGATCTTGTCCTGTGGTGTAGATGCCACCTTTAGCACTTCGGGTTTAGATTCCACAGCATTTTTTTCTCTATTGTTTCTTTCCTGATTGAGCTGTATGGCTGTCCCAGATGCATCTTCGGCAGAAAAATTGCAGAGAAATGGTTTTTTACCTGTAGAGTACACATACAAAAATTAATATGAAGATATGTTTAAAAAGATACCTGTCAGGGAAAATTAAACACAAGGACAACATAATGATTTGGATGAGGAAAAAAAAAGCGCCTGGGAACCCAGCATTCAAGGCACAGGTATTATATCTCGCATGTACATGAAATCTTACACTATAAACAGTATTGCTTTATTCTCACAAAACTGCATACTTTAAAAGAAAGGAATTAATTTGCACAGAATACTGTGTTCATGATACTAAAAACAGAAACCAAAAACAGTTTATGATAATGTTGTGAGATTGCGCTGACTTACTCAATCAGGAGGTGTATATTTTATGCCCCCAGTATTATCAAAATAACTTTCCCCCATAGTTTAAAGAGATAAACTAATTTACAATCAGGAAAAGCAACTTTCAGATATTAAAGACTAGCTACTAAATTATGTTTAAGATAATTTGGCTGGCAAGAGGGATGGGAAAGGGGGCATATGCCTGTTTAAAGTAATTATAGCTATTTTCACAGTCATGGCTATACAATTTTCATTCACATTCTATTCCTATTCCAGAAATTCCGGCAATGTGTACTGATAAAGTTGAAAGTTCAAACCTACATAACCACAGATACAAGACAATTTAATCAAGGCAGTAAAGATGGGAAACCAGCCAAGGACACACTCACAAACCAGCCAACCCTAAAACTGCAACAGAACATCTGATTCTTGCTCCACTGTTCCAGTTTCACAAAAAGAACAAACCAGGCACACACATAAAGTGCCATTACAGAAATCATTAGGCTATTTTTTCTCAACTGGCTACTTCGCTACAAAACCGAGACATGCTATATGATGTGACTTTTTGGGACAGTTCTGCAAATAAACTATGCATAATTTCAAAAAATGAAGTAAAAATTGTGGAGAACAGATAAAGGAATAGTAAAAAAAAAACTATATATTCATCATATTCTTAATATGCAGTATGTAAGGATCACTCTGCATTTTCCTTCACAAGTTCTTCATTTCAAAATGAATCAATATGATGCAGTATTTAAGATTTAAGATTAGGAATGAGAAGAGCTGGATTCGAATCCACCCTCAGCCTTCCAAATGCCCAAGATGAGTTAACTAATAGCAATTAATAATAAACAGCCTTAAACTTCTTTTCTGAAATAAATTCAAATTATTTACTTATAACAGGATCAGAATTCGTCTTTTCATTTAAATATTAAACAAGTTCATGCATCGGTAGTCCTCAACTTACAAAAGTTCATTTAGTGACTGTTCAAAGTTACAACGGCACTGAAAAAAGTGAACATTTTTCACACTTACAACCGTTGCAGCATCCTCATGATCATGTGTTCAAAATTCAGAGGCTTGGCAATTGACTCCTTTTTATGACAGTTGATAGTGTCCCTGGAGTCATGTAATCACCTTTTGCAACCTTCTTACAAGCAAAATCAATGGGGAAGCCAGATTCACTTCACAACCATATTTACTAACTTAATAAGAGCCGAGGTGGCACAGTGGTTAGGGTGCAGTACTGCAGGCCACTTTAGCTGACTGTGATCTGCAGTTCAGCGGTTCAAATCTCACCGGCTCAAGGTCGACTCAGCCTTCCATCCTTCCGAGGTGGGTGAAATGAGGACCCGGACTGTGGGGGCAAGTTGCTGACTCAATTTGCTAAAAAAAATTGTAAACCGCTTAGAGAGGGCTGAAAGCCCTGTGAAGCGGTATATAAGTCTAATAAATAAATAAATAAATAAATAACTGCAGTGATTCAGTTAATAACAGTGGCAAGAAAAATCATAAAATGGGGCTTAATTCACTCAAATAATGTTTCGAGGACTATCTATATTATATGTACAAATGTTCTAGTAATCATTTATCAAATATGGTTTAATATTTCTTCTGGCTCAGACTCTTGTGAAGGCTCGAGCATATTCTAAACATTGGTTATCTACATCAGTATCTATATCTAAACGTAAACATATATCTCATCTGTATCTATGGATGGAGAGAGAAATAGACAGTAATTACATTTTAAAGTATTTCTTATAAGAAGGAATATAGAATCAAGAATGCTTTAGATCACTTTTGCAAACATCTGACATTATAAAACATCTGTCTTCCTTTTAGTCTCTCCCAGAACATACACTGTGTTTGCTCATGATAACTCTTTACAGTGGGGTTAATATGCATGGTTTACTTTAAGTTTCATTGCTCATTTGCTGATAAAGTCCAGGATTACCACTAAATAGTTGTCTTCCATCTATACAGAAGTGCTGAGAACTCCTGAAGACTGGTAGAAACAGAGCGTAAGGAGTCTTTTTTTGCATCTGCATTTTATCTCAGCACAAGCGTTTTGGAAAATCAAACACATCACTGTTGCTTAGTACAACTTTGGTACCATAGGCACAGTTCCAACCCTGCCAAATGTGATCTGTTTAAGCCTGAACGTTCAACAAAAACAACGTCTCAGCTTCATTTAATTTGACCTCAGCTCCTGTTCAGGGAAAAGGCATTAAGCCTTTGTTTAATTCCGAGTAATTAGCTTAAAAATAACCCATAGATTTGCTGTCTAACAGGGTTGAATACTTTATTCTGTTAACATCATTTTCTTTTCAAACTCTCAAAGGGACAAGGTCCTTTGTGTTTAAAGTGTTTTTTTTAAACCTTCCTGTTTTACAAGTTAAGACTTCCTGAAAGCACATGCCCAAGATTACTAGCTGCATCTACATTTTAAAAGGAAAAAAAAAGTTATATAGAACTGTGAAATTAGAGACTGCACATCTGTGTTATTTTCAAAGCAGATCTGTCACAACTCAATATAACACCAGCTAGGAGAACTGAGGTGGCTTTTCATGTGATGGAGCTTGTTTACATAGACGCTAAGCAAAGATAAAATTAATCTTATCAGAAGAGTTAGAAATCATGACCTGTCCAAAAAACATCTGGTAGGCTACTTGAGTGAAGAAACATTTCAATGGAGGGTTTACATTCCCAGAATTATTCCAGATACCCTGTTTTCCCCAAAATAAGCCCTCCCTGGATAATAAGCCCAATTGGGCTTTTGAGCGCATGCACTAAAATAAGCCTGCCCCTGAAAATAAGCCCGCCCCAAAAATATTGCAACACAACAGCAGCCATGAGATGATCACACTCGCCACCTCCTGCACCTCAAATATAATAAAACCTCCTCGGAAATAAGGCCAAGTGCTTATTTCGGGGTCAAAAGAAAATAAGACCCTGCCTTATTTTCAGGGAAACATGGTAGTTTCTAGCTACCAATAAAAATGCATTGTTCTACTATTCTATCTTCACTTTCTTTTCTACAGTAAAAAAATGATTTAGATTGTTATAGTTTAGATATTTTTATCCCACCTTTAATGTTTATATAAATAACTCAAAAGCAGCAAACTACCTAATATTTTGTCC